TCAAAAAACCGAAGAATAGTATGTTAAAGGCTGTAACTGCATCAATTCCGGTCTCAGGGAAACCACTTGGAAACTGCAGTAGTAGCCATGTGTCCGGGGAAAAACCAAAAAACGCACACTCAACAGACACAACAAAAACGACACAGACTGACACACGCACGCACGCACGCACGCACGCACGCACGCACGCACGCACGCACGCACGCACGCACGCACGCACGCACGCACGCACGCACGCACGCACGCACGCACGCACGCACGCACGCACGCACGCACGCACGCACGCACGCACGCACGCACGCACGCACGCACGCACGCACGCACGCACGCACGCACGCACGCACGCACGCACGCACGCACGCACGCACGCACGCACGCACGCACGCACGCACGCACGCACGCACGCACGCACGCACGCACGCACGCACGCACGCACGCACGCACGCACGCACGCACGCACGCACGCACGCACGCACGCACGCACGCACGCACGCACGCACGCACGCACGCACGCACGCACGCACGCACGCACGCACGCACGCACGCACGCACGCACGCACGCACGCACGCACGCACGCACGCACGCACGCACGCACGCACGCACGCACGCACGCACGCACGCACGCACGCACGCACCCACACACACACACACACACACACACACACACAAGACACACAGCCACACCCACACACCACAGCCATACAATCAAAGACGCGCATACCACAACTTTTCGCGACGAGGTTTGCTGTCCGCGCCTGCAGGAACCTCCCTGGACGAGTCATCCAAATCCTCCTGGGACTGGGACAGCCTGTCAGGGGGGGGCAGCGCTGGGCTTGAACCACTGTTTAAACAAGAGCCTCAGTCGCCGAAAGAAGCTCGAAGATCTCGAAGTAAAAGGTGAATCGTTTTGGCCAAAAGTAAAAGGTCCCAAAGCTCGGCCGACCACCACCCCCTTGTTTGTTTGATTGTGGCTGTGATGCTGGGAAGCCTTCCATTCGTATCAAAGAAAGGGGAGATGCAGTGCATGTTCGCAGCATGAACATACTCTGTTCAGAGGCCGCTGTGAAATACTGACCCACGGCCCATCTGGTTGTTCCAGTTTTTTTGGCCCAAACCCTGGCCGGCGCGTCTTGCCGGTTTCTGTGCAGAGCATGAGCAGAGATGCCAAGATGCCGCAGCAGAAGAGCAAAAAGGCCACCTCAAGTATGCGACCTCTCCAGATTTCCGCACCAACAAACCCAGACAGTCCTTGGGTCAGGGGACACCTCAAGGAAACCGTGACTTGAAAAGGAAAGTCCCTTTGAAAAATGGATCCTTTGGTTCCAGGTTAGTTTGCAGCAATCCTTCATTCAGGATTGCCGAAGCGGAACGCAGTAGCCTCCAGCTATAAGAAACTCCCTCTTCAAACTTAGCAAGTTGGAAAGAACTGCCTTTGCTCGGTTCATGACTCCCAAACAGGGCCCGCGAATGGAGAACACCGAGCCCTCATGCCCGGAACAACCTCAAACAGTCAAATGGAAAAGCCACTTCCACTGCAATCACGCTGCAGGGTTTGACAGCTACATCCCAGTTTGAGGGAATCCGATAAACACCGGCTGGTATGTTTAGCGGCAAACCAGAAGTTTCCACTTGCAACCTCACTCGTTCGGAAGCGAGTCGCGTTAATCAAAACAGATCGACCTGGTTGAGCTTCTCAGAATGGATTCTGCATCAACAAAGAATCAAAAGGAACCCGACCATAGGGACACAATTGATTGACGCACATCAACGCGACTAACGTCCAGGAACTCAGGGCGCGAGCTGAAGTTTCAAAGACTACACATCTCATGGGTTGGTGAAAACCTCAAGAAATGACCCAAGTTCTTTCTCTTTAGAAATTGCCTAGCAGGGCTGCAATCCCAGGATGGAACTCAAACACCCTGGATCCAATACAGATCGAAGGCGTAAAAGTTCGGCTTTGAACAAGTCAGAAATAGTCTTAAATAGGCCATTGTTCTTTGCTCCTTCAGGAAGTCTCTTCAATTTTCCCCCAAACAAGGGTGCAGGTTGGCGTTTCCAGGCGGAGATGTGCCAATTCTGATCTTATCAACCTGGTGGGTCAAAAACCAAAGAATTAAGACATGAACATGTCAAAGTTCAAGTTGCGTGACCGACAGTTGCTCTGACTCAGAGCCAAACAAGGACCCACATGGATATCTCATCTGGACCCACAGGACCCACAGGACCCAAAGCCAAACAAGGAGCCAGAAGCTGCCCAAAAGACCACCAGGGCCTCTCCACAATTTTCTTCTGTAATGGTGGCTACCATATGGTGATAACAACAAGCACATGCCCACGGCTTGTAAGCCAAACAAATGACAGCGAACAAAATAACAACGAACTAAGCCCATTGTCCTTCTGGCCATCAAACAAGACCCCATATCAACAAATTCAAGCTCACAAAAAAATCGGTTTCACAAAGTGAGAATATGGCTGTGGGTCAGAAAGCAGGTACCCAAAATGGAACCCTGGGAAGTGCCAGAACCGGGGGGGGGAGATTTATTGTGCCAGAACTGGGGGGGGGGAGGGGGGGAGCAAAAAAAAGAGAGAGTTGTTTCGCAGTGGTTTCCCGTCAAACGAAAACCCAAGGGCACCCTCAAAAAACACTTAAATGGTCTTTGGGAGCAAGGAGAGCCCCTCCAAAATGCAGCCACTTAGAGAGACCCAGAGAAAAAGCAGATGTTCAAAACCATGACCCAGGTGCTGAAAACAATGCCTTCACCTTTGTCATGTAACAACAATTTGTGCTCCAATTCCCGGCAAGAAATGGCCATCCTCCCGGGCCATGAGTTCCCATAGCTCCCCCTGGCTATGCCTCACCCGCTTTTGACGAAAGCCAGGGGAAGGGTCCAAGAGCTAGGCGGACGAAGAGGCAAAGCCGATGATTCCAAAGACCTGCGTTGGGATCAAAAATGCCCAGAACGTCGCCAAGCCTGGAATACTAGCACAACGGCGTATACATATCCTGTATGTGTATGTATATACATGTATATATATATATATATGTATATGGGTTTTTCATGTTTTGGCTTAAGAAGTATGGGGGCAAACTAAAAGCTCCTTCAAGTGGTGCGTGAGCTTCATACCCCATTCGCTTGTTGGTAGCTGATCTTGCAGGGAAAACACCTCCGGCCAAGGAGAAAACAAAACAAATCAAATTTTCAATGGTACATCTCAACTTCTTAGACCTAAGGCCCAAGAGAATCTTACATCCGATTCCTTTGTGCAGCGCGCGCAAGTTCTTCAATCCTTTGACTCACTGACATCCCAAGTGCTACGTCTTTCTTCCTTATGTATAATCCAAAGGTGGGCAGACGGTATGCTCCAACGGAAAAGGGTGAACACGGTTGTTCATATTGGACGTGTTCGTGCTTCGAACTGAACATTCAGCGGATAATTTTGCTCCCAACAAACCAGCCAGAACTCGAGCCAAGCAACACCGGCGAAGAACAACAGCTATGAATCATTTGACCCTTTAATCTGATGCGCGGCCTGGGGTTTTTGCTGCGGCACTTGCTTGCTCAATGAAGGACCCTTTCATTTACCATTATTTGAAAGGAGGGGCTCCTGTTCCTTTCGGTGAGCCTCGCCTGGCCCGATCAGCTCTAAGGAGTTGCTCAGGGGCTTCTTTGCGCCCATGTTTTTCGTGGGCAACCCAAGGGTTAAGAAGAAAGGGGGTGCCGCTGAACTGAGATTCACAGCCATGGGAACCTGACCCGGCCAAGGGAACCTGACCAAACCAAGGAGCAAAATGACCAGGAAAAAACCCGTCGAGGGCTTGGGAAAACAATCCTTTTCCAGCTTGAAAGGTCCCTTTAACCAACGAGGCAACCCGCTGATGTAGCACACCCACCGGACACAGGGGCCCCCGATCTGATTTACATTCCTATGACGCTCAAGAGGAAGTCACGTGTTAAAATCCGAGCATTATTTGTTTGAGGACGGACCCATGGCCAGCCTTCCAAACCGGAAAGCAGAAGCACCTCTGAACGAATCTGGTCAACCACTGAGAGGACTGACCCGAGAACAGTGACCCAAGTGGTTTGGGGTGCTGAAGCCAGCAACACCTTCCAGCGAATGACAGCCGCAACAAACTCTGGCCTTGACATAGTCTGTCGGCTCCTGGGCAAGGCAATGCTGCGACGAGCCCTGGTTTCGTGCAGACACCGGGTTCAACCACTCTTAAGAACAAATTGGACAAATCCATCGCTTTTGGTAGGTCTTTGGCTGAATTCCGGGAGTGCTTTGTTCTGGAGCCATTTTTCTAAACTACCAACCAAACACGTCAGGTAGTGCACAAGTGGCCCCTGCAAAGTCAATACCGGAAGATTCCCTGGAAAGCTCCTAATCCAACCTCGGTATATGGGCAACAGCGCCAGCCATGCCACAACCAAAGAGGAGCATGGCTTGGATGCCGGACGCTCCATGGCGGATAGGGCAGGTAACACGCTAAACCTCCTCAAGTCAGTTATGACCCGACTGTTATTCTCCAGTTTTGAGGTCAGGTACCCACTAAAGCTGGACACAGGGAAAAACAAAGCGAGAATCCAATCTAAGAATCAACCAAGCCCGAGTATCCCTGAGTGGACTGCCCAAAAAAAGTAAGCACACTTTTTGGTTAGCACTACAACGGTCTTCCCAACAAGTTGCAAGTCCATTAACCTCTGGAAGAAAAAAGGGGCGACTACATTACATGTAGAACAAAAGAAAACGGAACAAAAAAGAGTATCCAGCCTAAAGTAAAACAAACAAATCTGAGTATCCCTTGTCATGATTCGCCAACCTGAAATCAGTTCCTCACAAAGCGATTGCTGGACTCACTTGAGTGGACTGGCCAAAAAATGAGAGTCTAAATATGTTGTTTACCACTAACCGGTCTTCCCAAAAAGGAAGACCAGTCCAGGAACTCACTAAGTGAGCTGGACAAAGGAAAACAAAGCGAGTATCCAATCTAAAAATCAACCAAGCCCGAGTATCCCTCACTTCCTGAGAGGACTGCCCAAAACAAGTAACCACACTTTTTGTTTAGCTCTAAAACGGTCTTCCCAAAAAGTTGCAAGTCCATGAACCTTTGAAAAAAAGACGACATTCCATGTAGAACCCCAAAAAAGAGTTTCCAACCTAAAGCAAAGCAAAACACAACGACAGAGTATCCAATCTAAACCCAAAACGACATCAAAACAACTGAGCATCCCCAAAACAACAAAGAAAAAGTATCCCATCTTGAAAAACACACCAAAACATCGAGTATCCCTTGTCATCTTTTGCACCCCGTCGCGGGTGACACCCCTCCAGCGCTCGATCGGGTCCCGGCCAAAACGTCTCCTGGAGCTGCACCCCGGGGCCGCAGGCCCGGGCCACCCGCTCCCCGGCCACCATGGTGGCCGCCTCCGGGAACTGCCGGGAGCACTGGTCCGAGTAGCCGAACCAACACCTCTGCCGCCGTCGCCGCGCAGACCGCGCGAGAAGGGAGGGACACCTCTCTCTGACGGATTTCCAGGGAGAGGCTAGGAAATAACCAGAACATGTGATTTTCCTGAAGGGGAAAGTTTCCATAGGTTCCTTAAGGTTGAAAACTCGGAAAGGACATAACCAGAAAATGATTCAACCTTCAGGAATCTCAGTTGCGAAATCTGCGAAGCCCTGCTAAAAGTGAATAACTGTTGGTGGTTTCATGGGAGAACCCATGAGTTGGCAAACGGTTAAAGTCCTAACATCCAAGCAAAATGCACCAAAGACCTGGTGCGCTGACGCGCTCGGCTCGGCGGGCGCTGGCGCTGGCTCTCGACATCTCTCGCGGCGGAACATTTGTTTTGTTTGGTCAACTAAAGCCAAAACGCAGGTGAGGCAGAAACATTTGGTCAACCAAACCGGCAGAAGCTTGCTTGGTCTTTGAGGCACGGCGCCCCTTTGTTTGTTTGTTTTAAAGTAAACCGGAAGGAAACCACCATTTTGGGGGGATCCCCGTAAAGAAAAATCCGGCAGGGGTTTCTCAAAATGGAATTCAACACACGAAACCGTGGGGCTTGGAGTCAAAACCAATACCAAACTTCTAAGGTTTGCTCCGAAAAAGTGACCAAAGTCCGAAACGAAACTGAGGGACGATCAATTGCGAGGGAACCCTTTTGGTTGTTATGTAAAGGAAGCCAAAAAGAACGAAAAGGGAAACCATACATTTTAGGTTGCGAAACCCCCGACAACTGAACAAGAGTGACCACACGATGGGGGATTTAAGAAATAGGCTGTCTCTTTAGGACTCATTTTCTGGAAATGTTGAGCAACATTTTAAGGGAAAGCCACCTCGGTGAAAGTGTCTAGTTTACCTGGGCAGAGGCATTCCCTCTATGGCTCACTTTCTGGGTGGCCGAACAAAGCTGACAGTTTGTTCTTTACCACTGAAATTGGGCTGCCCGAGATGTAACTAAAATCCAAGAACCAGGGCAACATATTTGGCTCTGATATGCTTTGGAGGCATAGTAGGGGGAGCCAGGGGAATAGCAACCTAGAAACTATGACGTTGCACCTATCAAGAACTAGTTGGTGCCAAGATAGGCTGAGTTACAACAAATGACCCTGGAAAAAGAGCTGCAGCCCCTTTTGGCCTTGAGGGCCACGTATTCCTTTTTTGGGCTGCAATGTTCGGTGATGCACATGTGTCTTTCTTGAAGCTCGGTACCCATTTTAGATTGGATTGAAAGGTAAACAACCTACCCATATTCTCCCAGCCCCCCCCCCCCCCCCCCGCCCAAGCAAACGGGACGAATCATTGAATTTCATTTAAGGGATTGACCTGTTTTCCGGCACAACGACACAACATCAAACAAAAAGGGACAAACAGGTGCTGCCGAACAACTGGGCCACTGCTTTTCTGAGTTTGCTTTCTGTCTCGTCATGGTTTTGTGTATGACTTGTCTGGTACGCGCCTGGGCGAAACCTGAACTCTAGCTGAATCTGGCAACATTATTGGTTGTTTGCACTTTGTCCTGTCCGCAAGGTGTTTGTTGTGTTTTTGTCCGCCCTTATTTGTACTCCTGCAGTGTGCTTTCTTTTGTTGTTCCAGGGCTGCCCGACTACCCTCCACAAGAACCAGAGGCTCAAATCCCCCAATCAGACAAACCAAGCAAAAAGCCAACAATAAACCTATAGGTCTGGTTGTCTACTCAGTCTGGCCTTGTCAAACCTAAACCCTAAGAAACAAACAATCAAACACACAAACAATGAGTCAACTAAACTGTGTTCGATCAAACAACATTTCATTTCGCACCAATTCCGCAGGTGAGGCGCCCGTCTTGGGTGCCTCAGAGCCGAAAGGAGAAGCGGAAATTCCAAGGGGGTTGTTGAGGCTAAGAGGTGAATCGGGCAAATAGGTAAAAGATGGACCAGCCGATCCATGTTGGTTTGATCCTCTTTGCTTGAAGGGAATAGCGCCATCCACTTTCAATTTGGTGCAAGTCAACCTGAACTTGAACATCGGCAACCGGAACACCGCGGTGCGCGACGTTTCACATGGCGCCGGGAAACATGTGAGAAGCGGCAATTGGGATGTAACCACTTGCGCTTACATCTGTTTTCCTTGCCCGAATCAAAATCCCTAGATTGCAGCATGCTGGCCTTGGCAGGGAACCAGGGAGAGCAAAAGATTGACAGAGTTTGGTTTGGAACGGTGCAGTACATGGCTCCGCATCACCAGCCTCTTGGCTTTCAAGGCGTGGCTCCACTGCCAAAAGGTGGCAAGGGCCCTTCCCAAAATCAAAATGCTAGGAGGGGGCCTAAGACTGCCTTGGAGGGTCGGAAACAAAGCTCATGCAACATTCTTGTTGCTGGTGCTCAGGGAATGTGGGAATGAACTTGGGGATTCCCTGACAGGAAACCACCAGTTGGATGGTTTAAATCGGGGTCATTCCATTTTCTCGAACCAGCAAGTCCTGTTGCAGGTTCTCCCTTGAACACCACCCCTACACTGGCCTTTCCGCAAGGAGAGGTTTCTCGACCACCCAACAAGGGGATGTCCCTTTCCACTGTGAAAAAAGTGGTCGGGTGGCGTCGCCTGCTCCGTGTCGCCGCAATAAGCAAAAACGACAACTGAGGGTGTAAGCATGTTGTGGTCGTGTGTGTGTGTGTGCGATAGTTGAGGGGCGCCTTTGTCAAAAGCATTCAAAAGGAAACCACGCATTTGGGATGCCTTTATTTCGACACATTCCTATTGAAAAACGGATTTGAACAAAGGTGGCCTGACCCTATAAGGGTGTACTTTGCAGGGTACCCTTTGTTTAGTTTGCTAGGGTCCCTACAATGACAAAGCTACCCATATTTACTCCGGACACAGTCAGGAGTTTACTCACTTCCCGGAGAAAGTGGGAGCGGCTTCTGGACGTTGTGGCAAAGAATGCTGCGAGCAAAGAGTTTTGTCAGTCCGCGGAGGTGAGCCGAGTGGAAGAAGGTGTCAACTTTTGGGGTATACCGCAGGGTTTGTCTCAATGGCAGGGATCGTCATGGAATGGCCAAGCTCCGTGTTCTATAATAAGGGCGTTGGAAAAACATCCTGGGGAGGTTCAGGACAATTTGGCCGCTATTTGGATGTCCCAAGCTGGGCTTCGGACCCCCCAGAAAATGGTTGTACGTTCTGTCCCCCTTTAAGATGACCCCAAAATGGGTACTTGAATGTTCGACTAAGTGAGTGAGTGGCTAGTCACCTGTGATATCATCAACCCACTACTGACAGGGTTCACTCAAGTGCGCGGGGGACCTCGACATAGGCGTCCGCTTTTGCATTTCCCGACCCAGTCCAAGGGATCTTTTTTGAAATATGGAGCCGGAACGGTGGGGAATCTAACAAGTATTGTTGACATCTGCACGTTTTCAGGCAATAAGTCGAAAAACTGAATAAGGATCTCGGGCGCCCAAGCAAAGGACCTACATCACAGTGAATTTGCTTTGCCGGAAGCGTGAGCTCGCGATGAAAAATCGGCAGTTTGGTTTCACAGACGAAGCCGAGGCGCTGTGCTCCCAAATGGAACAGGCGGAATCTTGGTAGCAAACGTCCCGGCACTGCAGCACTTCAGCTTTGTAGGTGCCAGCCGCGCTCCTGAGAAGTCTTTCTCGGCTTCCCAGGTGCAACCAGCGACTTCACAACCCCCAGGCGTAGAAGCGCCACCCTCCCATGTGGGAGGATCCAGACACAGAGCCTTCTGGACCCAGCTGTTCAACGTGGGGTTGACCATTGAGGGTGCTGAGCAACAGGCGAGCTTTATCATGAGTTGGTAGATGGTACAACTTGGTAAGTAAAGAGGAGGACTAAAACCAGCGTGAGGGAAGTGGTGCCATCTACCAAGTCACCCAACTATAGTAATCCACTTAGTCTCACTTCCAAGTGAAAAAAAAAAAGCGGAACCTGTTGTTCGCCACCAAAATGGTCCTGCAGAAAAGAAAAATCCAGAAACTCTTGAAGTGAGTAATGAATTAGCAACCTAACTAGCTGTACATGCGAAATCTGTCCGGAAAGTAAAAATACTCATCCCCTTTTTGGTTTCCCGTTGGTGGGTCTGACACCGCTGGACTCAGAACACGAAGTTCCAACCACATTGGTGACCGCCTCACTTGCCTCGTCATGGAGGTCCAGCCATTGATTCATCCAATTTTCTGCCGGTCAGCGTGGGTTTTGTCCATTCACAGCGAGCAAAACAAAGCGGACAAGGGGGGTTTCAACTTTCAGCAGGGCTGGTGCCATTAGCGGTCCAGCCACTCAGCACGCTTTAGTGGAAAACACACACATAACCAAACAACTAAAGATCAAAAAACCAAGCCCAGGGATGACCCTCTGCAAACCATGTTCAACTTTTGGTGAATCCAATGGGAAAACCTCAAAGTTCCAACCAAAAGGTTACAGTCCAAAGATCCGTTACCAAATAGCCATAGCGTCATCTGTGTCTTTGTTTCCGGCTGGTGAACTGTTGGTGAAAGGTGAACCTGGACCCGAAATAATTACCAGAAAAAGTTGGGATTTCACCCGGCCCCACAATTTTTCCCCTCTTCACCCCGGTCAAAACCAAGCTTAAAGGATACAGGCAAACGACCGAGTCATGCCTAAGTCACTCCTTTATCTCTGTGGCCATGTGCTTCCCCCCACGTTAAAAAAAAAGGCACCGATACCAAGAAGTCACTCCAAAGGCGTTTCTCCCTACGTTTCAGGAATCAAAGTTGGGATTTCACCCGGCCCCCCCTTACCCCGGTCAACACCAAGCAGAAAGCTTGATTGTTGTTGACCCCTGCAGAAGGTTTAACTTTTTGGGGGTTTAGTGGAAACCCCCTTGATTTCAACCAAGAAGTTAAAGTCTAAAGATCCAACCCAGTAGCAGTCAAGCAAAGGGCACCAGACACCCAGCGCATGGCGTTCCTCCCTACGTTTCAAATCCGATGGCCGAGGCTCACCGCCGCCACCTCCGCCTGCTTCATGCCAGTGCCCCGGCACCAACGGCCCTTCCTCGGATCTTTTCTTGGGACCTCGAAGGGCTCAAAGGGACCCGTTGAGTCCTCCATTGGCTTGCGCCTTAAGCCCTCTGGTTAAAAAGACTTGAATATTTCCATGAGTGATAGATCAACTCCAGAAACCAACAAGGAAACATCACACATTGGGACCCTGGTCCTGCATTTGCTTAAGCACTCTGGAAAAAAAACAAGGATATGACCATGTCACAAGAGGAAAAACACCACAACACCTTCAGCAAATGGAAGTTGTGCTTTTCCATGTTGGTCCATGGTTTCCCTTGCTTGGTGTTCCCTTTTGGCTTTTCCCATGCTGTCTTCATAGATCGGCCCGGCGTTTCGTCAATTGAATCATGCGAGCATTCATCCAAAAGGAGGACACCAAACGACTAGGGCCTTGTCAAGTCCTCTGAAACGCAGCCCTCGCCAAAGCTCACACTTTGCGATTGACGAGTTCCAACCTAAATGAAATCACCACGAGTTCGCACCCAAGAAAGCTCATGGAAAAAGGTCACACACACAAAGGTCAACGTTTGGCCGAATGGAGTAAATAATGCCTATAGAATGAGTTTTTGGTGTGCTTTGACAGCAACTTTGGCAATGGTTGAATGGTTGTATAGGACTTCCTGGGAGTAAAGGAATAGTAATTCTTCAGCCCCTTGCGTTGCGTGGGCAGTAATCTCCAGGCTCGAGTTGCTCCAGCTGGATGGTATCCGACACAGTGCCGTGGGAAATACCTGTCAGCTCGCGAGAGCTGCCCACCCAAAATGGCTACAGCCCCACAAATCAAACAGCTTCAAACGATGTAACGTACAAGGGTTACAGAACCAATCAATAAGCACAGTTAAACAAAACATTCTTTGCAGGGAAGCGCGCACATGAACCGGACGAACACAGACAGCAAACAATCAACAAATACATCCGGGCCCTCATGGGTGAATTGTTTGCTTTATTTCCCCCTCACACGACATGGAACTCGCAGAGGCATAGACCGGTTTTGACTTCATCCCCGAACGCCTCCCGTGAAAACGGTAAGATTCACACATTGTACACAAGCACCTTCGCGTCGGAGATGAACCAGACTAGCCACAGAATCAATCAAGAAGAATCCATGAAAAAGTAAGCCCAAAAACCACATCGCCATCAAACAATAACAATCCGCAAGCAACAAAAGAAGCAAACAATACTAACAAAGCAAGACAAGCCAAACACAAATAGCAAAAACACACAACAAGCACGACCCAACCGCAAGAAAGAACAAGGGGGGGAAAACAAAAAAAAAAAAAAAACAACAACCACAAACAACAACAAAAAAAAAACAACAACAAGACAAACCAACACAAAACAACGCCCAGCGTTGAGAGCGGAGATGCGTTGTCCCGCCAGGACAAGCAGGTTGTCGAAGCGCTCGGATTGGCACTCCAGGCCGCGGCCCGTGTAGCACTGTCCAACCCTCGGATGGATGGAGAGCAAAGGTCCAGTAGAGAGGTTAGAACAAGTCCAGGGGTTGATTCCTTTTCCATTCTTTACAGCCGTCGTTCTTTTCAACAACCGATCGCCATTTCGCCAGCGGTTCCGATGGTGTTCTGGAAAGAAGGATCCCTGGAAAAGAATGGGGAAGTGTCCTCTAGAATAAGGGTACTAACTTTTGTCTGCAGTCTTTTTTAGTAGGGGAACCCTCCTAACCAAAAAAAGGTGAGAAAGGGCACTCCTGCGGGACCTGGGAGAGACATACGGTAGGTGGATGGACGAAATCCGGCTCTCATATTCCCCGTGGTGTCCGCTGGGATTCAACCATCACTTTTTTTGGGCCCCAAGACGCACATTTTACTTGGGTGATGTAGATCCCCCACCAAAAAGTTTAACTTTCTGCCAATTAAACGGAAATATGCGGGGTAGTCAAAAAGTTAAAGTCAAAGGATCCAACCCAATAGCAATCAAACACTCACTTTGCTTGTAGAAAATACGTCCAGTGATACATTCACCAAACCAAAAATGGAAAATTTAAAAAACAAAAATCGCTTCAGAGGAAATGATGGGAACACACTTACTTTTGGAGGAATCTCCTTTGCGAAAGGGAATTGCTGGCCACCATAAATCTAAACAACAACAAAAACATTTTCACACAAGCCACCCCAACCAAAACCAATGCCAACCCACCCCAAGCACCACAAACAAGAACAAATCCACCACAACAAAAGTAGTTCCTGCGCCCCAAGGGCACACGTGGAAAACAATACCACCAAACAAAGGAACACTCCATCAAACAACACACCCAATTGCAAGTCTAAGCAACAACAAATCATCCACACAACACACAACCGACTTCCCAAACCATGTTCTGATTAACAGCCCAAGAAAAGCCAATAGGGTCATCAGCCATGGGCTTTGGTCCTTGATGCTCTTGGGCCCCTTGGGGCGCTTTCAGGCATGATGTTTGGAGGTAGCGCAAAGAAACCACCAATATCAGCTTGCAAGGCGGTATATACACCTTATAGAAGCGGTATACCATCCCCCAGACTAAAATGGAGGCTCCAAGGGAAGACTTGGCTTCATTTACGCAGGCCGATTGGGAGACCATACCTCCAAAACCCATACCTCAGCATGTCTTATGCGGGTAGGTCGATTGGCGATTCCCCCATGCCTGGAGGCCGAGTTCTCACGGGAGGTGCCCCACTGCCAAACCTGGGCAAACCGAAAACTGGCCGTTTGTCACCACTAAAATCACCCACTTGGAAAACATCAAACCCTGGCCTGGGGAGTTTTGGGGCGGGCAAGGCGGGGGGGGGAAAGGGGGGGGGCAAGGGGGGGCAAGGGGGGGGGGACTTGGCAAACTTCAACTGCCATCCCGTTCACCACTAAAATCACTTGGCTAGAAAAATCAAAACCCGGGGGGTCCTGGGCAGTTCGAGTGGCCTTCTTTTATCAATGGCTGTGGGTCAAAATTAGGTACCCAAAAGCGGGGCCCTGGTAAATGGAACCAAGGACTAAAACCTGCGGTCCCTAGTAGACCCACCTTCGGAAACTCCAGCAGCGAAACCGATTCTACTGGCCTTCTCTGACTTTGATCAGCACTTCCATTTCTGGAAACGAAAGTCCAGAGGTGAATAGATTCCATTTAAAACCAACAAGGGGACAACAAACATATTCTGAAGCAAATGGAAGGCCAGAAGCCGTCAACATGATGACAGTTGCACAGATTCGCCAGGGAAAGATTCGCCAGGGAAAACCTGCTGACTTCGACTGTGCCCCTGCCAGGTTCCAGGTCCGTCCGAGGAGAATAGAAACATTTGCCAACAGGCTTGCCTTTCGAAATACGTGGCCTGGCTCGGCTCTTGGGACTGAAAAAGTAAACGCCGTTGCCCCTTAGGCACCTAGACTCTAGACGCATACATCTTGATCACCTTTTGGGGCCACCAAAGCATGGGCCAAAGGGAAACATCAGGTCGATTCGCTTTGAACACGCGAGCCTCGCAGTTGGGGTCGTCGCAGCACCGGGCGCGGCAGAAGTCCGTGGTGGAGGAATTGTCCAAGAGCTGCAGCCCCAGGCAAAAGCCCTGGCCGCTGGAAGGTGCTGGGAGGGGGTAGGGCTTCAGAAAGTTGTGATTGGGAGTTGCTTTTGGGAATGGGATCGGAGAAATTCTGCTGCGCTTCTCTGCTCCTTGAGTTCATGGGAGTACGTGTGTGTCTTGGCTTCTTCGTTTCTTGTTTCCTGTTTGAAGCCCACAAGTTCGAAGCCTCTTGAAGGGGAACGCGACTGGTGAATCAACGGCACAAGCCCCCGAAGCCCAACCGCCCCAAAAGCCATAGGGGCGTTGGGGGCTGACAAGCATGACTTCCAACTTCAGACTTCCTTTTGGTGGAACCCGACCAACCAGTTGGGGTTAAGCCTTATTCAAGCAGAATACAACGACATGAGGCCAGAAGAATGGTACACAGGTTCGACTTGCTCCCACTTCCTGATTCAATTGGCTAAGAAGCCGCTCCGCCCCAAACCACCCTAGAGCCTGTCTGGCCAGCAACCCCATAGCACACAGCGTGGAAAAAGGTTCACTTTCTGAATACGCTTTCTTGTCCAACGAAGAGCAAAGATGCAAATTTCAGGGGCCCCAAGCACCCCGGTTTTACCCACTGGGGGTCAACATCAAAAACGCCCCCAAAACATGCGGTTGTTCTGTTGGCTTTCGTGAACCCCCCAAAACAAAACAAATGCAAACAACACGTTAACAGAACAACAACAGCTTCCTCAAAATAACGAGCCGGCACCCCAATGATACTGGGAAGCACCATCCATAGCCCTGGTAATGTCGTCCTGGTGTCCCTTTCTAAGATCCAAACATCACTCTTGGAGGGCCCCCCACTTCCTACAGTCAATGGGTTCTACGTTGCCTCCCAGCCGTTCGCCACGTCCTGGATCACTTGACAGCGCCCACATGGCACGGACATCCCGAAAAAAGGCGCGCCCGCCCGAAAATCTGTAGGAAGGGCTTCTGCATCTAAAGGGGGGGGTCATATTTTGTTGACCTTTGTGCTTGCCCCACCCCCAAAAAACAAGATGACATCGCAGTGGAGATGGACCCTGTTGGAGATGGACCCTCCCGGTTCTCAAGTGCCATGTTGGGTGCTTGGGGTCGCTTCTCACGCTTGCAGCCAAATGGCCGCAGGGCGAATCCAAAGGCGAGCGCCCTCTTGACGCAAATTCGGGATTTGCCGAGGCTCTAACCAGGTCGGATCCGGAGGCTGGATTTGCCTTGATGGCTGAAAGGTGGAATTCGAGGGACGTCATTTTGGCTGTCCCCTGGCCCTGTTGAGGGATGTGTGCGCAATTGTTGCCCAGTCCTCAGCTTCGGGGTCTTCGCAGCGGGCCAGTGACAAAAAAAAAGCGGTTCCTTGCAGAGAACGTGGCTTGAGGACCTGAGACGTGGGATGGGCAAAATCAACTTCGCAAAAGGTGGCTTCATCATCTGTGCTTCATGCATCCCAAGCGCCGATTGATTCGCGAGGATTTCGTCACAGGTTCAAGGCGCGTCCTGTTTAAGGACACAGGAGGAACACAACGTGTCAAGAAGTGCGCCCTACAGCATCCCTTTTTCTCACTTCTTCAGACTGCAAGCTCCCAAAAGTGAGACAATCCCTTTGAACATCCTACATGGGACTCACCCTCCTGCCACATTTAGGGGACTGCGGGTTTAAAGGGAAACAAGAAGGAACACCGAAGCCATATTGGGGCTATGTTCTGCCATGTTTAGCCGAACTCCTACCACCCACCCCACCCACCCACCCACCCCACCCACTCAACCGAAAATGATGGTTTTTACCGAACCCCTCTATTAGACACCCTGCAAATGTTTGGGGTTCTCGGCTGTTTGAGGATTTGAGGACCCAAAAAAAACGTCGAATTAGAGCCTCTGGGTAGAAAAAACCGAGCAACACCTCTGGGGCCGCGCGCTCCCCCGGCTTGTTGGGCCGCTCCACCGCCGGCGGGGCACCCGTCAGGAGCTCCAGTAGCACCATGCCGAAGCTGTGCACCTGGCGCGTATGGCGGCGTCCATGGCTTCCACTGGCTTCTCTACTGGAAATATGTTATTTGGTCTTTGATCTCCAAAACAAGCAAACGTGGGCATGCCGTCTTTGTGAGAATTCCCTTCTTGGGGTGTCCTTTGATTTCCCTTCTTCCGTTGCCGTTTTAGCCGCCTGGTTTTCAGGCGCCGCCGTGTTTGTCAGGCGCCAGAACTGGGGGGACTCGTTTTGTTGACAAACTGACAAACCGCACACCGGCGCTTCGAGCTCCAAAACTACTTTTTTGGGGTTTATGGGTTCAACGAAAAGGGGTTGGGTCAACAAAAACAGGGCCCCAACCTAGCAGTTAAATCGCACCAAACTGTCGTAAACAAGCTGGCTGACCACAAAACAGGTCGTACGCACCTTCAAACTGTTTTCTTTAAACAACTGGTTGTGGTTTTTGTTAGAGGAGCTTGGTTGTTGACCTCCAAGGTTGCTCGCCAATGATTAGGTCAAAAGATCAAAACGGCGTTCCTTGCGAAGGTCCAAACAATTTGCGTATCGCCTTGGGTGGCTTGGATTCGTCGTTTGAACTGGGGCCCTGGTTCTTGTAGGCCAAGAGGACGCCCACGAACGTCCACCAATTCAAACCCACCCTTTTCGAGGGAAGAAGCAACATTTGTTCACAGATAATTGCTTGGTTGACGTTGGAAGGGGAGCAACAAATTAAATCTCAGCAGTTAAGTGGTTGGTTTCAACATCACTCAACCACAAAAAGCAAAAATGGCAAAAACATGTCTCCCAACAACAATGCTAAAACTCGGTACCCAAAATGGCTTGCCCTGGCACATGGAAACCTGGACTAAAACCTGCGGTCCATATCCTAGTTGCTTAATGTTGATCCACGCCCATTTGTTCTTTGAGAGAAGTGGGCCACCCCACTTCCATGGCTTCCTCCCCTTGAGACCCTTCGATTCCTGGGGTTGTGAGTGCAGGGGAGCTTTGGGACCGAGCTGAGCAAAACTGAGCTCACATGTAGGTTTCTCTATATGCCAGGCCCTGCTTAAACACATGGAGAAAACAAAAACGCCAAATTGGTGAAGAACCTGTGTTTGGTTTCCATGAGTTCAGGTCCCACTGGCAAGGGGGCCAGGACATATGTTTAAAGCTAAGGATGCACACGCGACACCATAAAAGGGACAAAGCTTTGCGCCTGGCTAAACACCCCGTCTCCTTCTGGGCTGTTCAAAATAGGGTCAGGACAATCCGAATCCATAACCCGTGTTACATGAGTGTAGCAAGGGAAGCCACAATTGGTAGTTGGCTTCTCAAGGTCATGATGTGTCAAGGGAGAACCCTCCAACATCAAAAGAAAACAAGTTTGTCCATTTTTGGAAAGTCCAATCTATGAGTTCTTTCGCACCCAAATCGGAAGATCCAAGTCAAGCATACCATGGTCCCAATCTGGGCTACACAAAAATGTGCTTTTCAGATTCTGTCTCGCATCTATTTAGCCCATCCTACAGCATTTTTGGTACAACAAGCAAAACAACGAGTTGGAGGAGACCCCATACTTGGCTTTGGGCAAGCGAGTGCTTGGCCCGGATGTTCGATTCTCGAAGCCTCGCTGCCCTCCGTGATGATGCCAGTACGGATGTACCTGGCATGCATGCGTCTGGAGGACATGATGCACCTTCAGAAACACCTGCAGACGCATGTGGAGGGTCGCGGCAGAAAACCCCTTGTCTCTTAAGTGATTTCCAAGGTGGAAAGCCAAGTCTGCAGAAAAAACCTGACCTTGAAAAAACCTGTTTCCCCCACCTTGGATGTCCAACCCGCGTGATGTGGGTGGTCGCGAAATCCGCTCGGTTTCTGGTTCGCTTCCCGTGCAAATGCCAAGCAACACTGGTTTCAACCATGGTTTCTTAGGTGGTGCGAAATGGATTGCGTCCATCCACAGTATGTCCGGAGAATCAGTCTTCTGATTCCGTTGTATGTGGGACCAATCCCACATACGGGACGAATTAGCTGGAAATACTAACTACTTCCTCAGTGGGGTGGTCATCCAAGCACTTTGATTGTTGTGGGAAATTCAATGATCCATGAACTATTGGACGTTTTCACCTAACCTCGCATGCGCTAAGAGGCATGTGGGCATGCTGGCACGTACGTACAACCAAAAAAACGGCCATGCTACTCGCTTGGCAAATCAGAAAGCGCCCCAATCGCGCTTGCTCTGATGTTTCGGCTGCTGCCGACGCGGTGGTAGTGGTACAGAAGTGACTGTTGTGTGAACCACGCGCACCCATGCTCAGCCAACAAGCTTTCACACATGTGATTCCGTGTGCAGGTCAACAGTCCCAACCACCGCTGCATAACTCTATGCTGACCCACTGACTGTCCAGAAACAACTTATTTCCGTGCCTTTCTATTTCTACAATGGTGCAGGAATCTACCAGCAAGAGTAAGGGGCACCCTGCTTTTCTGACCGCTAAGCCGGTTTTGCGCTAAAAAATCACCAGGTCCCCAAGAGCAACGTTTGCGGAAATTTACAGGGGGGCAACGTTTGCGGGAAAACAAAGAGACTCCCTCAAAGGGTACACTTCCTGGCAGCTTCTGCACATGCAACAAAAGAACGTGGTCAACTGGCAAATTCTGACCCTGAACAAAACTTCACCATAGAACATCCTCTGCATACAGCACTTACGCTGGTGGACCTACAATGGGACTTGCAAGCCAATGTCAGGGTGCAATCCCGCTAACCTACCTCATGGTGAAACTTTGGCCGAAAGTGGAACAGTCTACTATATGCACTGGGGAGAGAGTCATGTTGATTTGAACAGCCAGCCCAGGGGGCTCTCCTACTTGGTCCAGCCCGCCCGCAGAATGGTTTAGGGTTTAGGGTCTAGGGTAACGTGGAAAACCAGTGCCATGAACCTGATGACCAATCCACGACACGAACCGCACCAACCAAGCACAAACTTCTAACCACTCATCTACATATGAGCAACGCGTGGTTCTGCCAAGGTAGTTGTAAAGGTCTTGTTTTCCCTGTATTTTGTTGGTTGAGCTGGAGTTCCGACACATTCCATTTTAAGGGGGTGGAGATCGAGCCGACAACACTTGCCAGAAAGGCTCAGGGCAGGCGTATCCCACGGTCCCGCTGGCCTCGACTTATCCAAACGAGCTGAACGAAAAGCGCAGCCAGGAGTCACACAACTGTCTGCAAAAAAACGGGTCAGAGATATCCCTTTTAGCAAACCCTTGTGGTTGCCTGAAAAACCAGATTTAATGTTTGTGCCGTGGATGGACGCAATCCATTTCGCACCACCTAAGAAACCATGGTTGAAACCTTTGTTGGTTATTCACAGGGGAATCATCATTCCAGGGTTTCGTCCATCCACAGTATGACCGCCCCAATCCCCAAGTACAAGGCTGTTGGGGCCAAGGGACATGCTGTGGATGGACAAGACCAACTTCGCATTTGGGAGGGATAAACCTATCAAGTTGATCAGCAGCCAATCCAAACTGGAAAAGAGAAAACCTCGTCCCGCAAATTCTCTAGCGAAAGCTTCTCCATTCGATCCTTCTCAGGAAACCCTGAAAGACCCGGGGAAACAGCCGCTTGTTTCCGAAAATAAGGATGGTTGAAAAGAATGAGGGGTCCAGCCCTAGAATTTTAGTCCTTCAAACCTGAAAGAGGGGATGGCTCGTTTTACCCCATCGGTGGAATCGCGCGCCGCCAAATCGGCGGGTTTCTTCGCCTTGGGCCCGTGGCAGTTGACTCCGCTTCATCGACCCAAGCAGAACATGCGGGAAACAGCGCAAGAAGAAAAGCAAAGCGATAGGGACAAAACCCACTTAGCGCCATAGGAAACACATGTTGGTATACCCCCTGCGAGCCGAGAAATTTGCGTCACAGTGACTGCTACTCTTCCCGCCGAAGATCTGCCCTCGGCCTCTAACCCCTGCTTTA